CTAATGTGGTAGCCGATGCCCTGAGCCGTAGGGCGGAGAGTGCCCCGATACGAGACGTCTGTATGAGGTTGACGGTGATGACTCCGGTGTTGGATACCATTCGAGGGGCCCAAACAGAGGTTGTGAGACTGGAGAACCGCAAGAGAGAGCGGGTGATCGGGCAGATATCGGAGTTCGTTACCGATAGCCGAGGGCTTATGACCATTCAGGATCGGATTTGGGTGCCGTTCATGGGGGGCACGTACCATATTGATGGAGGAGGCGCATAGATCGAGGTTCTCGATCCATCCCGGGGCCACTAAGATGTATTTGGATTTGAAGAGAGACTATTGGTGGCCCTGTATGAAGAGGGATGTTGCGTGGTTCGTTGAGAGGTGCTTGATGAAGAGCGCTCACTTTCTTGCTATTAGTGAGAGCTCTTCCGCTGAGAGGCCGACAAAGTTGTATGTGAGAGAGGTGGTATCGCGGCATGGAGTACCGATCTCGATTGTGTCGGATCGAGATGTACGTTTCACTTCCAGGTTCTGGAAGAAGTTCCATGAGGAATTGGGCACGAGGCTGCATTTCAGTACCGCTTACCACCCACAGACGGACGGTCAGAGTGAGCGAACGATTCAGAAGCTCGAGGACATGCTTCGGGCATGTGTGTTGGATTTCGGAGGGAGTTGGGACACGTATTTGCCATTGGCTGAGTTTTCCTATAACAACAGCCACCATTCGAGTATTGGCATGCCTACCTTTGAGTTGTTGTATGGGAGGAGGTGTCGGACTCCCATCTGCTGGGGAGAGGTAGGGCAGCGAGTGATGGGTAGCTCCGAGATAGTGCTTCAGACGACAGAGCAGATACAGCAGGTCAGACAGAGCTTGTTGACAGCTCAGAGTCGCCAGAAGAGTTATGCGGATAGGCGACGATCCGAGCTCGAGTTCCAGGTGGGAGACTTCGTTCTCCTGAAGGTATCTCCTTGGAAAGGAATGATCCGATTCAGGAAGAGGGGCAAGCTGGGACCCCGGTACATTGGTCCGTTTCTGGTGACCGCGAGGGTGGGCAGAGTAGCGTATCGTTTGGAGCTACCTGCGGAGTTGAGTCAGATACATGATACCTTCCACGTGTCTCAGTTGAGGAAGTGTATAGCCGACGAGTCGGCGGTGGTGCCGCTGGAGGATATTCAGGTGGATGCGAGCCTGAATTATGTTGAGAGACCGATCGCGATCCGGGATCGAAAGGTCAAGGTTCTGAGGAACAAGGAGGTGCCCCTGGTTCAGGTCCAGTGGCAACATCGGAGAGGGTTCGAGCTGACTTGGGAGCCGGAGTTGGAGATGCGGGAGCAGCATCCAGAGTTGTTTGCAAAGTGAGACTTTGAGGGCGAAGTCTGATTATAGTGGGGGAGAATTGTAACATCCGGATTCCCATGTATTTTATTTTAATCATTTATTTTGAGTTTAAGGGAGGGACTCGACGAGTTGACGCCTAGACTCGTCGAGTAGGATCGCGATTCGCTGACTGGATTAATGAATGAACTCGACGAGTCAGCTAGGTGACTCGACGAGTCTGTGCTAGCAACAGAAACCCTAAATCTTTGGGCCTGTGCCCTATTTAAAGGTCCTTATGGCCTTCATTTGCGGCCACTTACTCCCCTGAGAAACCCTAAAGAGCGAAGAGAGCTTAGAGAGCAAGGGAAAGGCTAATTCTTCATCCTTTTGGTGTAATCTTGCAAGAAGGAATGGGAAAGTCCAAGCTAGATCGATTGTTGAGCTTGGATCTGTGTTGTTCATACTAAGATTCGCTTCTGGAGGTACAAATCCTTTCCCATTTCGTGTATTTGATGTATTTCTTGAATCTAGGGTTTCTTTGCATCTTTTTGAGTTGGATCTTGAAGCATGTGATGTCCCAAGGTGGTGTAGATGTTAGATCTGGACCATGAGAGGTCCAAAAAGTCCCAACCTTCCAGCTTTATGCTGTTTCATGAGAGTTTTGAGAGTAGGTTATCATTTTAAAGGTTATTCCTCCATTTATGCCTTTGTATGTGTTGCATGAACGTAAAGTTTGAACCTTTACGTGACTTTTGAGTGCTAGAAGGTTAGATCTACTAGTTGGAGAAGCATATCTGACCTCAGATGGTCGTTTGAGTGTTGCCATGGAAGGAACTCGCCGAGTCCATAAGGGGACTCGACGAGTCGAGTCGGGTTGCCCTGCGATTCATGACCAGTGGTAACCCGTCGAGTGGAAGGTTCACTCGACGAGTCGAGTGAAGTTTAGATAGACCCAGAGGACACACTTGGACTCGCCGAGTCACTTATGTGCACTCGACGAGTCTGGTCAAAGTTGACCGTTGACTTTCGTTGACTTTTAGGGTCTAGTAAATGTTTGGACTTTTGAGCCATTGGAGGGGTAAAATGGTCTTTTACCCTCCTGAGAGAACTTAGAGAGGGAATAGCCTAGCCTTTGAGAGTCGTATTGATTAGAGTAATTATTTTATGTGATTAGGCGGAGGCTAGATCAGTATCTCCGAGTTCGAGATTTACCGAGTTACCCGAGGTGAGTCTTCTCACTATACTTTACCTAGAGTGGTAATTAGAGTTATGTGATAGAGTATGTTGTATGCTATTATATGATGTGATATCTATGTGATTCTGTGCTATGTGTGATTCAGAGTTACAGAGTAGGACCGAAAGGTCCACAGAGTTAGGACCAGAGGGTCCACAGAGTTATGGGACTGGAGGGTCCCACTGAAACACTGTGACTAGAGGGTCATACAGAGTTATAACCTCGAGTGGCTAATATGTGTTGTATGTGGTATTTTGCGGAACTCACTAAGCATTTATGTTTACAGTGTTATGTGTTATGTGTTTCAGGTATTAGTGACGATCGCGGGAAGGCGCCGGCATGATCCGTACACACAGACCGGAGATTTTATTTGTGATGTTGGGATATGTTTTATTTGATGACAATTGTTGAACATGAGATTTGAGAATGTTTAAATGATAATTATGTTGTTTGAAAAATGAAAAATTGTTTTGAAAATTCACGTCGTTACATACATATGTATCCTCGTATATAGAATGATGTTATGTTTAGTGACCTGTTAGGTCGGTATCCTGGTATATAGGATGATGCTATGATTAGTGATCTGTTAGATCGATTTGACTGTTTATACATGCTAGCATTTGTTATCTATGTGTTGATTGTATGTGTGGGGGTGGGTTGGGGCGGCCATGATTTGCGCTAAAGGAAAACATACCTAGGGCGGCCCGGATAGACTGAAGGCCCAATGGGGCATACCAGTCATGCCGAAGGCCTGGAGAACGGTCCAGACAGGCTGAAGGCCCGGTATGGCGGACCAGACATGCTGAAGGTTCTGAGAGTGGGCCAAACAGACTGAAGGCTCGATGAGGGCGGTCCAGTCATACTCCAGTTGCTTTCCTAAAGAAATCGTTTTTGGTTTCTGATATTTTTGGCAAAACTATGTTGAAGTTGTTTATTTAATGTTTCCTTCAAAGCTTAAAAAAGGAAAATGAAATTTTTTCCAGATCTGTTTCTTGTTCATATCTTGATAGCTTGTTAAGCAAACTGAAAAGGAAAAGAACTCTTATGAGCAACATCCCACATCAGATCCGATCTTTTCTTATAATATGGGATTTGTTCAGCAAGTGGGGAGAAAAAAAGTTTTTAAGAGTTTTTATTTCATTTTCAGCTCACATATTATCAAAAATTATTTTTAGCTATGATTCTTTTTGTGTAATCCCATTTAATTATTGTATACCTAGTTGTGTTGCTTGTACACATCTCACAACCTTCAAAGAAAAAAAAAGAAGGATGGAGAAAAGAGTTTTTTATGGGTTTTTACCCAAACTTGAGTTCATATATTTTTAGATAATCCCATATAGTTTATGATCCTCTGTAGATAAATTTACTCAAATTATCTAGAAACTTGAAGAAAGAAATAAATTTCTATAAATTTTTTACCTCCTCAAATTTTTACCCAAGATCAGTTTTACCATTCCTTTTCAATGATTTACTAAGAAAGCTAGAAGCAAAGAAGCTTTTATAAATTTTATCATATTCCAGTTCATATATAATTAAAAATTTATTTTAATAATGAGTTTATGTGTAAGATTAAGTTGCGGTGTAGCCTCATACATTTCAAGACATTGGTAAAATTATTTTTACCTTATAGTTTTACCATCAGTAAATGGTTTTAAAAAAAAAGAGATAGAGATGAAGTGTTGCAACAAAGTAATCAATAAAAAGAAAAGAAAGGAGACGGATACACAAAGTTCAAAATGGTGACTTTTTTTCAAATTAAACATACAGCTGTTGTTATCATTTCTTAGCTGACAAAAAAAAAAAAAAATAGGTGTAAGAGATGCAATGTAGGCCAGACAAATGACAGAGCTGTTTACAAAAGTCAGGAATAAAGCTGGACCCAATCTGGTCCAATACCTTATGTGCAGAAAAATCAAAAGCCGGGACCCACCGGTCGACTCATCTTCCCGGGCAGCCAAAGACCTCCAACCAATAGCCTCCAAGTCTTCAAACACCACCGGAAGATTCCCAAACACCAACCACTAGTTACCTTCAAAACGAGCAAACAACTGATGACGACAGTGGCCTAATTCCATAGACGCTGAATCTCTTACAGCTCCGGTTGTCCTGTTGCGAGAAATCCCTAGACTATTAGCCCGCCGGTGGTCATCACCCGTGCATCGCCAATTGCTTCTGACATCGCTGAGAAGCCTCCAACAATAACATCAACCGCTGACCTCGGTCTCTCGATCCGCCGCTGGCCTCTACGAAGCATCACCCGACGACCAGATACAAAGCCCCACCGGCTAAACGATTCCCCGATGAAGCATCTCTGAGACACCCCAGCCTCGACAAAGCGGCGGTCACAGGACCCGCTCTTCTCAATCCATAGCCGGCAAACCTCCATTTACAACCCATCACTGCCACCTGTAACCAAATCAACACCATTGGATCTGAACTGCAACACCACCTAGCAATGGCAACTCCAACCCCGATTACAATCTGCTGCCGTGTAATCCCGTTGACCCTCCAGCAACATCAAATTCAACATCGAAGATCATTACAACCCCCACTCGCCGACTGTTGTACCTTCACCGCTGTGAACTCCGAGCCACCAGACGACCTCGAATCGTCAATCGTTTTAGCATCAATGGCCTCCAGACACAGCGTTCCCGGCGATCTCGCTGCTGCGATCTCCAACGAGGAACACAAAGCCATCGCCGCCTGTCACAAGATAATTGAGACCCCGATCATCCGCTGCACTCGACGAATTCCGACGAGAAACAAAACCAAAAAATCACGACCGAAAACTTCAGATTTATAGTCGTCGGTGCTTTCCTTTGGTTTCCTGCGATAGCGGATCATGTGGGAAAAGGGATGCTTTTGTTTCCTCCTAAATTGATAAAGAGATAACATGGCGGGCCCACATGTTACTCGATCAATGCCCTAACACGGTAAAAAAAAAGAGACAATTTGGGCTTGCAGCTTATAAACCCTAACGGGCTGCATTTGTATGTGGGCTATAACATCTGATTTGGGCTTCCATATATCTTCGCATCTAGGCTGCCCTAAAAAAATAATCAAAATGGCCCAATTATCGTAAAAACAATTTAGCCCGTTGGTCAGGTCTCAAACGTTGTGATTTTGCCCGACAAGCCTGATTCTATAAAACGCATTGCGGCCCGGATCACTCGATATTTTTTTTAAAAAAAAGAAGAAAGAGAAGAGAATATGAATTTGGGCTTCATATAAATTGGTATTTAACGGGTTACCTCCAAAATATCATATATGGGCTAATTTCGCAAAACAAGACAAGCCGCTCAAAGCTCGCGTGTTGTGATTCCGCTCAACAAGATACATTTTCAGAATGGGTTGCGACTCGAACTCTCGCGACATTTTTAAAAAAAAAAGGGGAAAGAAGAAGATAAAAAGAAAGTTCTGTAGAAAATGATATGGAAAAAGAAACGTGCATAAAAAGGAATATATCAACATCATACAAAAATATTTTCACACAAAGAAGATCTTTACAGCAAATCACCCAAAATACATCAAAAATGGTGTATACTTTGTTTGTCTACTGCCGACAAAATAAAAAAGGGAGGAGGTAAAGGTGCACAGTGCAATAGACAAATGACAGAGCTGTCAACAGTAAAAACCAAAGCTGGACCCACGTGGTCCACTTCTTTATACACAAAAAACAAAAAGGCGAGCCCCACCAACCTATTGCTTTTCCTGAGTGCCTGTACACCTTCCGATCGCCGGTCATCAGTCACCCGCCGGGCGACCTCCAATCGTCAGTAGCTTCCATGCATAGTCGATCCCGTCTAGACGACGCCCCCAGCAGGAAGGCCCCGACAGCGAGCGCCTCCCTCGAACATTGTTGGTCGTCAGTAGCAGGCGGCAACCCATGAAGCACCGAGACTTGTGCAAACAATCACTCACTCGACCACCTTCAACACCAATTGACCCAACAGAACAACTCCAAATCACCAGAGAATTTGTTGACGCCTCAATCTCCGCCATCACCATCGGACTATCTCCAACCTTTGTGCCTTAGATCGCCACAGCTGTCACCTCCAGTTTAGACGAAGCGAACCCAAGACGACACCCTCCGCCGATCTTCATCATCCCTGTCCGACCACCTTCTATCGCCAATGCTTCCAACGATAACCCAAGAGCCTCACGTCGGAGGCGAAATCGTCGGTCCCAGAGTGGCTCTCCGACTAACCTCCAAATGGCGAACCTCCGGAGAAATCACAACTCCATGACGTCGGCATAATAGCAGAACTGACCTTCCTTGCCGGTGACAATCCCGAGGAGGAACACCAAAATGAAAATGAAGAAGAAGAAGGGTCATCCTCAGTCGACGCTTTTTTCCCTCTCGGCATCTTAGAAGTCGCAGCTAAAGTCGATGCAAACCCCATGGTCCAATTTGATTAGAGCTGATGGGCCAATCCAATTATGTAAAAAAAAAATGATTGGGCCCAGTATTTATAATTGGGATCTACAACTTTAATTTGGGCTCTACCAAATAGGCCTTGGGGATTTATATTAAAGTTAGTTTTTTCATAATATTGGGCTCTCCCTACAAATAAAACGGGTTTCTTCAGTAACGAGCTACACCAACAATAATAAAATATAGGCTATTTTTACAAGAAAAAATCAACAACTTAATGCCCGTTTGCTCCAGTTCAATCAACCTAAACCTGATTCTAGAAGATGCAGTCCAACTCGGCATTCCAAAAAAAAGGGGGAGGGAGAAGAGTAGTACGTTACTACTACTCGCAAAAACATTTCGAAATAGCCTACGGTAACCACGTGGCCCGGCTATCAGCATCTGTACCGACCAAATTCAGGAAGTCTCACTACTCAGCTCTCACCATTAATGTTGACCGACTCCCACTGCTAGTCTCGCTGCTCAGCTTTAAGCACCCGCGCTTCCTGGATCTCAGCAAGTCGCACAGCCCGACCCTCAACAACCATGCGATCCAGCCCAGTAGTCGCAAAGCCCAGTCACCAACAGTCATGTTGTCTGACTCGCAGCGGTCGCGCTGCCTAGCTCTCGGCAGCCGCGTTACCCAGTTTTTGTTAGTATTTGGGTCGCCTAGCTCTTTCCAGCAACTATGTATCTCAACTTTCAGCAGCTATACATCCATCTTTCCCTTTCTCCCCCTCCTCCAAGAAAAAAAGGGGGGTGGTATGCCACTATGCAGAAGTAATTTTTACTCCGAATGGGCAGAGTTAGTGTACAGGAAGAGCTGATGTTGTGCATGACAGTGCACCCCCAGGGTGACACCAATATTCCAGAATCGAAAGAGCAGCCTCGTGGTTTAATCCTCGGAAGACTCGTTGCCCAAATCTTAGTGGTCATGTTGCTCATGTATCGCTAGCAGCTCGATGCTCAGTTCTCAGCGGCCCTGAGGAGCAGCTCTCGACGACGGTCTCGCTACGCACCACTTGACGACAGCTACACTATCCAGCTCTAAGTAGCATCGCCGCATAGCCCTCTGCAGATAGCCAAGATAGCAGGGCACCAATCGTCACTACAACTAATCATGCAGTAAAGCATCAGGCGCCATCATACTTCAGCCTGGGCCGGGTACATAGATTGTCGGCCGCTATGCCAATAATGCAAGGTTCAACACCATTGTCCTGAGTCGTCTGGTTTCTCAGCCCGACTCCATCCTAGCGGCAAGCTCCGCATGCAAGGTTCAGCACCCTTGCCCTGAGTCGTCTAGCTTCTCAGCCCGACTCGATTATAGCGGCACACTCCGCATGCGAGGTTCAGTACCCTCGCCTTGAGTCGCATGGCTTCTCAGCCTGACTCCATTATAGCGGCAAGCTTCGCATGTGAGGTTCAGTACACTCGCCTTGAGTTGTCTGGCTTCTCAGCCCGACTCCATTATAGCGGCAAGCTCCGCATGCGAGGTTCAGTACCTTCGCCTTGAGTCGCCTGGCTTCTCAGCCCGACTCCATTATAGCGGCACGCTCCGTATGCGAGGTTCAGTACCCTCGCCTTGAATCGTGGCTTCTCAGCCTGACTCCAATATAGCGGCAGGCTCCGCATGCGAGGTTCAGCATCGTTGCCTTGAGTCGCCTGGATTCTCAGCCCGACTCCATTATAGCGGCACGCTCCGCATGCAAAGTTCAGCACCCTTGCCTTGAGTCGCCTAACTTCTCAGTTCGACTCCATTAGTGGCATGCTCCGCCAACGAGGTTCAAAGGCTTGCAACCTCTGCCTACATGATCCCACGCGATGCTCTTCCGTGTGATGTATCTACGATCACTGGCAGCTAAGCCCGATCCATTCCTCGCGATGCTCTCCCGCGTGATGTATCTATGATCGTTGGCAGCTAAGCCCGATCTATCCCATGCAATTCTCTCCCGCGTAAGGTATCTACGATCGTTGGTAGCTAAGCCCGATTCATTCCACGCGATGCTCTCCCGCGTGATGTATCTACGATCGTTGGTAGCTAAGTCCGACATATTCCACGCGATGCTCTCCCGCGCGATATCTCCATGGTCGCTAACCGCTAAGCCCAAGCTATTCTCCTAAGTCGCGCAACATAAGTCGCGCATCGTCGCACACCATAAGTCGCGACTAACACCATGATCTCGGTATTCCCTCTCTCACAGTCATCATGGTTCTCTTGTGCTCGGACGGTCAATGAAGTGTTATCCACATTACAACCTACTATAGTGAGGTTACTCTCCAGCAAGAAGGTCATCCCGACAGCGGCCCTGCTACCTACTACCTTTCAACATCTCTGTTTCCTGGCTCTCGGAAACGGTCTTGCTATGCAACCTTACATGTAGCCTCGCCGCGTATCCCACAACATCTCTGTTTCCTGGCTCTCGGAAACGGTCTTGCTATGCAACCTTTCCTGTAGCCTCGCTGCGTATCCCTCAACATCACTGTTGCCTGGCCCTCGGAAACGGTCTTGCTGCGTAACCCATACCTCTGGCCTCACCGCTTATCCCTTAGCACCTCTGCTGCCTGGCTCTCGGCAACAGTCTCACTACATATTTCCCACTTATAGCCTCACTACCTGTTCCTCAAGAATTCTGTTGTCCGGCTATCGACAATAGTCTCACTATGTGACCCTCGCTAGCAACCTAATCGCCTAGCTCTCGGAATCTCTGCCACTTATATTATGGTCAGCAACCTTACAATTTATTGGTTCGACAACGTAGTCTGACGCGGCTACCTACGCTACCCACATCAGACTGGGGGGAATCCAGCTAGGTGTAGCCCAAGCAATAAATACCTCCAAGACGGTTATTAATGCAGACCATGTAGATGGTTATTGGTGACATTTCATTTGCGCGTAACTACAACAACATCTATGCCGAATAACAGTCTCAGAGACTGCATGGCGAGGTTACGCTTAGCTCTTTAGCTCATCAGTATCGCGCAACACTCTTTAGCAACCTCGCACTCCTCTCGATGAAGGAGTATCAAGTCAGCTCAAGCTGCATAAGCAATGCTTAGCTCATCACGCAACCCCACGGCTCTCGTGGCTGAGGTTCGGTCGTTCTCTCTATTATTTAATGTATTGGTGTTTTATCTAGTCCGATCCGATTGTCAGCAACCCAATCGCATCAGACTAGGGGGACTTGATGACACACAGTTTATATGACTAAGTCCAGTCCGATGTCATTGGCCGCATACCAATAACATCAGACTGGGGGGACTTGATGATGTATGGTCCATTAGCATGGCCTAGACAGCTTTGGCGCACCAGCCTCGCCTGACGCTCCCTTACCAACCTTGTCGGGGACTCCCTTGCCAGCCTCGCTGGGGAGTCTCCTGTTAGTTTATAT